CCCCTGGGAATCTCAAAGAAGCAGGAGCTGGTACCACAGTGAAGAGGAGCTTCCCTGGACATGCACAAAGCCATAGCAGCACCACAGAAGTCCTCAGATGAGTTCCCTGGGGAGCTCTTAGAGGGGTCTGATGCCTGGAATGCAGCTTCAGTAACACTGGTCACTGTCCCTGTCTTTGTTGCCATGATGACTTCACTCCTAAGTTTGTGTCTTTTTCATTCATAAAATGGAACAATGGCTTCAAGCATGGTTAGCTTAATTCAACACACCCATAGTGACCACCATATATAAGCCAGGCCTGGGGAAGGTCCAGAGTAGGGCTCAACAACTGCACATCTAAGAGGATTCCAGACGCATGCTGAGAGGCCTTTCCCTGCCCCCTGCTACCCTGTAGCCTCTGTGCCCTCAAAGTTATTGACCACAAAGTACGTAGGACCTTCCTTCCAGGAATGAGGTGCCACATTAGTGAATCTGAGACTTACAGATGCTTCCTAAGTTACACAACCAGCCAGTAAGACCTCAGGATTTGAGGTCAAATGCAGCAAAATCAAATTCCCCACTCTATAACTCTGGTGGCAGCTGTGCTACCTGGACGTGTTGATCCCAAATCTTCAACCACTGTTACTCAAAAGTAAGTCAGAAATAAGGCGGTACCAATTGCCATGTAAGGCTGCTCACACTTTATCTGTGGCATGAGTGTGGTCCCAGGGAAAGTCACAGGTGGGACTGAAACAGTAACTTATGAGCGCTGAGTTACGCTGGTCTAATTATGCCTTTGGTGGCACAGCATTCAGCAGCCAGAATCAAAGGGGCTGGGATTCTAATACAACTCTTGGCAGAAGGTTACACAAAAGTATTCAGGGTCCTGAAAGGCAGTGGACAGCGAGGTACACAGTGGTCTGGGAGCATCTGGACATGAGTCAGGCTTCTCAGTGAACACCCAAAAAGGGGACAGCCCGATGCAAGGTTTGCTCCCACTCCAACTGGCTGCTCTTTGCTCTGCCCATGTGGTTACTCCTGTTGGGATACTATTCTAGGCCTCTCTCCTTTCCACCTTAGGGCCAGAGCCTCAGCATCCCCGACTTACACATCAGCCCATTTCTTCCCGTGAAGGGTCTGGGCACTCAGGTTCCCCTCTGAAGGGCAGCTTTGAGAACTTCCTGGTCATTGGAGCTGCTCTTCCTCCTTCCTGTGGCCAGCTGGACGGAAAATGAGAGAATGGGCTTTGGGGACTAGGAGGGCTTCATTCATCGCTGCTATCCTCAGCAACATAGTAGGATGGGGGGAGGTGGAGGAAGTGGGAGAAGAGGAAAAAGAAGAGGAAAAGGAGAAGCAGTAACAAAGGCTATTAATGCATAACCCACGTTGTACTAGGTACAAAGCACATGTTATTTCCAGTCTTACTGTATGAGGAGTATAGGAAGAGATAGAGAGATGATGTTCATTTGTAAGTGGGAAAGCTAATCAGCAGGGTAAGTGAGGAGCATATTAAAAATTACACAAGTGAAAGGTCTCATAGCCAAGCACTGGAAATTCTACACCCATTGTGGTAGAAATCCTACATCTACTTTAACCCAACACCTACAGCAGCCAAGATTTCACCCCCAAGGCATAACGTCCAAAAGCAAATGTGAATGTGTCACCTAAGCACAGTTAAAGTTTCTAGGAAGCACATTAAAAATCATAAAAAGAAACAAGATAAAAATATTTCACTAATCTATTATATTCAGCACAATTTCCCAGAATATTAACAAGTCAATGTCTAATCAATATATTTCATGAGATGTATTTATAACTTTTTATACCTAATCTATAAAAACCTGGGTGTATATCAGCCTTGCAGCAATTCTCAGTTAGGAGCAGCCCATTCTGTGGAGCCACCACACATGCGACAGGACAGGCCACAACACATGGTTCCCATGTATAAGATGGCCATGTGGACATCCACTTTGGGAATGAGTGGGGTGAAGGCAGCAGGAGACTCTGTAGCACACAGAGCAGATATGACAAAGACCTCCCCCAGAGCTACTCATCAGGCACAGAGTCCAGTCTGACAAGATAATAGCTTTGGCAAGGTTCCCCACACTGCATTCCCCAGACCTGTACCAATCTTTAAAACCTAACCAATTACATCTGATCACCAAAATCTGAAAAAGTTAAATATCTCAAGTTAAGGCTGAGGCACAAGGATCATTTGCAAGTTTGAAACCATCCTGGGCGACAAAGTGCGTCCAAGGCCAGTCTGAACTGCATAGTGAGACCCTGTCTCAAAAAGACAAAATAAAATAAATGAATCCATATCTCACTTATTGTGTGCACTCAGATTTTCAGAAGATTCTTCTCAGCATTTGGCAGTGGATGGACCATGAGTAAGTACCTCCAACACACACATCTCAACCACATGCACAGATTTCAATGTCAGCAAAATTCTCTTGCAATCACTTCAATTTGAAATGAAGCAAAATAAAATAAAAGCACCAACAGTGACATATTGGAAACATCTGGCAAGATTAAATCAAAGAGTGTCACAAAATCCAAACATTAGAAATCCCGTGGCACAGAGATGTTTGTGAGCCATTGCCCTTGACTTCTTTTAAACTATGATTAGAAAAGTCCTAAATGCCAGGCTCTGTGTCAGGAGCCAAGGACTTTGTCTTGGTGAAGCTCAGAGTTTAAGGGTGGAAGCAGGCACTATCAAACACACACACACAAACTACTACATATATATTATGCAGGGTGTTTGTCCACATCCTGTCATGTAACTGTCCACCTCAAGTGGAAAAGAGCTTCTCAAGGACAAAAAGAATGGCAAGCAACTCCATCACTCCATCCTGGGTACATAAAATAACACCCTATTGTTAGTATGTGATTTTCCAGATCATCCCTATGAAGTCCATATTCAGAATAGTTCCTATTCAAATCAGCTATAAAGCCACTCACACACACACATCTCTATGCCAAGGGATTGCTAGTGTTTGGATTCCGTGATGCTTCTTGATTTAATCTTGCCAGATGTTTCCAATATGTCACTGTTGGTGCTTTTATTTTGCTTCGTTTCCAATTGAAGTGATTGTAAGAGAATTTTGCTTCATTTTCCACCCGAATAGATCAGATCCTCTTCATTTCCCAGCTGTATTTACAAAGATGGGCTCCCCTCTGACAACTGAGCATTCATTTAAATCCTGCTTCTATTTGGGTGTTTGGAGAATCCACCCTTAAAAGATCTTTGAGTGTTTCCCAAAGTTATCAAGATGGACCTGTGTCATTCTGGGTCAGTTGGGACTTGTTTCCTTTCCTCTTAGAGGCTTTTGCTCTGTGTGATAAAGCCCTTTCTTTGAAGGAAGAAGGATGGTAGCTACCTCCCACAAGGCACCAAGGGACACTAAAGTAGTCTTGTGTGCCCTCTCACTTCCTCTCTCTCCTCAGTCCTGCTCCCAGCTCAAAAGGTCCCTTGTTATTTTACATGGGTAATTTCACCTTTCTCTAATCAGAGCTTTCCCCGAGTCTCTCCAGTGAAGAAGACACGTGGCATTCACATCTGCTGAAGCGAATTTACCATCTAGGTAGAAACCTGATCCGGGAGAATGGAGAAGGCCTGATTTCATCTTTGAAGCATTGTGACATCTGTCTTTTCAATCACGTGGGAAAATAAATTTGCTTACTTATTTAGGAAGCTTAGAGCATGGTTTCCTCAGACCGGTTCTCTGAGCATTTTCCCTGACACAGAGCTCAGTTTGGTGATGATATTTGCTGTCTAGTGACACAGCAGCTAGAGCCTGTCTGCAGAGGCTGGAAGCTGGATTCTGCTTCATGTCCCAAGTTTGTAATGAGTGACAAGTCAAGTCATTGATGTCAAGTCCATGGAGACCAGGAGCACCCTAATGACAACAACTACATCTCATTATTTTCCTATAGCTCCAGAAATCAGCAGGAAATAACAGAAAAAAACAGATCTCCAAAAAAGTGTCTGTTAGATATGTGAAAATTAAATAAGCAATGTAGAAAGATGTGTCATATTGTGATAAAGAAACCAAGAGTTTCTGTTTCTGTCGGGCTTCAGCTACAAGCCAGACACATCCCCGCTGAGCCACATGCAGCTGCTGCCTCTGCCAACCCCTTCCTCCACCACCCCATCCCCAAGGCTGCTGCATTTCTCATTTAGTGAGCACTGCACTTCCAGAAGAGTGCTTGCTGAGTGCCCTGCAGTACTCAGCAAGACAGGCTGAGATTCCACTCCCAGGCCCCACCAGCCTAAGCACAGCCTAACCAGGCCTAGAGAAAAGATTGCCCAGCACCCATTATGACACAGAAACAGTCACCCAGTGAAGCGGGCGGGGGAAGAAATTGGAGGCAGTTTGCACCAAGAGAAAAGCCCTCCATCCTTCCTGCTCTGGGAGAGGGTTGTCCTCACAATGACCCACTGGGGTCAACCATCAGCTCTCGACCTGCCTGTACCCCAATACCCCTAGGCTTACCCCCAGCCTCAGCTATAAGGAACAGATTCCAGACAAACAAGTTAGAGGCCCTAGGTTATCTCAGAGGGCAGCAGATCCACAGCCCTCTGCCTCCTCTGATTGGCTGCTTAACATCTGTTTGCTGGCCTGATTGTCCCTGAAATCTCCTTGGAGCCACCATGTACCAGATGCTCCAGTGAGGGTCTTGCAAGCACTAACCCCACCTGTTCAACATACCCATATGAGACATGAGGATGACACTGGGTGAGACCTCAGGCACCTTACAGGTTGGGTAGGGATGTAAAATGCCCTTGCTTCAATTCCAACCCCCTTCCACTGGCCTTCCACATCTATCCCCAGAGGAATGAGACAGTCCTCCTGGGCGTCTGGGTGTGGGCATCACTAGGTTCCTGGCGATTAATTCTGGCCAGGTAAGGGCCATCTGCCTTACACTTGCTGGCCCCTCACATCTGCCCAGGGCCCCTTCCTCCCACTGGTCTGTTGCCCCAGACAGGAAGCCTTACTAGGATCCTTCCAGTTACTCACTCTCACACAGCCGGCGTCGCAGCTTGCCACGGATCTTGTCGATGGCGTCAAAGTCAGACACATGAAAGATGTGGGCAGACTTGGGCTCTGAGGCAATCTCCTCCAGCTCCTCCTTCAGCGCGGCGCCCACGCCCACTGCGAAGATGCGGATGCCCGCTACGTGAGCAGCTAGCGCTGCGTCCAGCACCAGGTCCTGGCTGCGGCCGTCAGTCAGTAGAATAGCCACTTGCTTCAAGGCACGGTTGCCTGGCCGGCCACCGGCTTGCGGAGAGAAGCTGTAGCGCGTGATGTAGCGCAGGGCATCGCCAGTGTTGGTGTTGCCCCCGTGGTAGGGGATGCGCCCCGCTGCTGCTCTCACCTCCTCACGGGAGCTGAAGCGACCCAGCTCAAAGGCAGTGGTAGGAGCATCACTGTAGCGCACGACGCCCACGCGCGTGCGGTCGGGGCCCACTTCGAACGTGTCGACCAGATTGGCCACCCACTGCCGCACCTTCTCAAAGTTTTCCTTGCCCACGCTGGAGGAGGTGTCCAGGACGAAAACCAGGTCATACTGCACACTTTTGCAACCTGCGGGACGGGCCAGAGAAAGGGGAGGCAAAGGACAAATGGACTATGGAAAGGGCAAGTCTTTGAGTTCCAAAGCCTTGGATACTGGTGTCTCAAAGCCTGATGGTCTCTACCTGTCTGTCACAGAATAGTACAGTTAGGAAGCTTTCCAAGAGTCTAAGCCCCAGCTTCCTGTTCTGTGGCAAAGGTCAGGAGCCTTCCCTGTGACCTCAAAGCCGTTCACTCCGCCTTCAGGGTTCTGCATTAAAGTGCCTTACACCCACGAGAGGCCACTGTGCATCCATCTCTTTACTCTTACTTCGCTTAAAAAGTAACCGTTTTATCATTATTTAAACCTACTGCAAATGCACACCCATCTCAAAGAAGCATTTGATCAAAAACCGTTTGAGAGTCTCATGTTCCTGACCACACGGAGATAAGTGCTGTGCAGTCATGGGATATGTCCTTGGGCATGTTTGATTTCCAGATAGCTACCGATAGGATGGGACTGTACTAGACTCAGTGAAGCGAATGAGCCTTTGCCTGAACCCAGAAATGTGTGAGGCTCCGGTTTCCCGTGCTGGCATCCTGGCTGTACAGCTGTGGCGTCCACAGCATGAGTGAACACAGTGAATCTTAGCATGCTCTCCTGCAGGGTACTTAAACATTTAACAGAACTTCCTCAGCAGAAGTCATATAAAACACAGGACTCATGTATTTTAAATATAAATGCATAAAAGTGCTATAACGTGTTATGCACATATACTTGTGTCTTTATAACTACAAATTTTATATACAGTGCATGATGCATTCTTATAAGCAAAATAAGGGACCGTATCATTTTTCTCACCCTCACAGCAATCCTCGGCAGGGCTTCCTCAGCCGTTTTGTAACCAGATCACCTGGTGAGAGTGTTTTCTAAACTCCAAAGTGCTGTGCAGACACAGGCTTAACTGCCCAAGAAGGTGGGCATCACCACACCAGCAGTGCCCACTGAGTAGCCTCTGGGAGAGCAAGCATGTGGACAGCTAAACAAAGCAGTGCAAAACAAGAGAATGCCTCTAAAATACCAGGCAGGCGCAGGTCACAAGGACTGGCAGCTGCCATAAGACAATGAGAGGGAGGCCTGGGTCTCCTGCATGAGTGGCACTCTGGGTGGCCTAGGAAGGCCACATGCTTCAGCCCAGACTGGGAATTTAGTGACTTAGCAAGACCCTGTCTCAAACAAATAAAAAGAGCGAAGATCGCTCAGTGCAAAACCCTGAATTCAGTCCCCAGTATTGGGGGCAGGGATGGCTCTGGCATTTGTGACACCATCCTCTGGGCCTTAAAAACCTCATAAAGGTGGATACCTTTTCTCCACCAATTCCATGTTTAGTGATCTTCCCCAAGAAAATTAGAAAACTTGAAGGGGAAAAATTGATGTAAGAAATATCACAGTGACATGAAAAGAAAATCCCAGAAACAACCTACATCATCATTCATATGATAGGATGGCAAACAACAATCCCTGTGTAAATGAGTCCTGCAGTGCCAGGCCAGGCAGCCTCAGCCGAGATAGGACAGCTGTGAAGGGATCTAACTACCAATGCAGGTGAGTATAACACAACACCAAGGGAGAAAAGCTATTTAGGACAAATTTCTGGAAAGAAAACCTGGGCTCTGTGTGTGTATATGTGTGTGTGTGCACGTGTGTGTGTACAGTTGTATGGGCTGCCGGAAGAGGGAAGCTGGGCTTAACTTTGGCAAGCAAAACTATAAATGGATTTTATTATTTTGTATTTTTAGCTTTTATTTTTGCAATCAAAAAGGTTCAAGCCCAGAAAAAAAAATAGAGCTGTATGTGTGTATGTGTTCACACACACACACACACACACACACACACACACACACACACACCTTCTCTATCTGACCTGAGTCAATGCTGTTTTTGAAAATTACACATCAACCTCTGCCTCCAGTTTTCAAAATCTGAGTGACAGTAGGTATGCCAGCAACTACCTTAGCTGTCATCTGCAAGTCTGGAATGACATTTTATGCCTTGGATCAAGGAATAGGCACTGTCTGTGCCCTTGGGGGCATCTTCCATATCCAAGGCCCCAACTGCCATCTCTGTGCGGGGTGTCATGGGAGAGACTGGCTCCTGTTCCCACCAGCCCTTCATGCTGCAGCACAAGCTGCTGCCATTCCCATGGCAGGAACCCTGGACAGGACAGAAAACCATCCTGTCCCAGCACAGACCCCTCTCACGTCTTCCCATCTCCAGAAAGCACTCCCATGCCCTGGCCGACTTCATAGGCAAGTCCTCTTATATCTTGGAGCTCTCTGGCTGGACTCCAATGTGTCCATTTCTCCAAAATGTGTCTAGGCCTTCCCAAGGCAGAGTAATACCACAGGGCCCAAGCACCGCCTTAGGCACAGGCCCAAAGCCATACAGGGTCAGCCTCATAGCTCACGACTGACTGAGGGAGAAGAGGACAGAGAGGCCTGACCTTCACCCCCCTCTATACATCGTACACTCACAGTCAAATGCACAGACACAGTCACACGTCATCACACAAATACACACTTCCACACGCCCTCAAAAATCACACATGCATTCTCTCACACAGTCCCACATTCTCCCAGCCTCTCTCAGACAGTCTTACACCCTCTCACTCTCATGTATGCATTCTTTCAGGCATTGTCACACACTCTCACCACACACTATCACACACTACCACACCCTGTCACACACAGTCACATTTTCCCTCACACACACGCCCTGGCTGAGCGGCAGGTCCCTGCATGCCACAGCTAGAAGGGCAGGTGGTACTCGCGCACACACATACTTGTCAGCTGACCCAAAATCTTACACCCAGTCAGCCATGAGCTCTCTGGTGCCACTTCCACACCTGCAACCTACACTGACAGACTCAGGGACCCGCACTTGGCCAGCTCACCCCAGCCAGAGCACAGCCTATGACACTTACCTGCCCGCTGGGCCTGACAGCCACTGCCCTTACTCCACAGCAGCAGTACCCAGAGGAGGAAGACCACAGCGCTCCTTCCGGTGCCCACCATTGCACCCTTGCTCTTGGAGATGAGCACGTCTCGGCCAGGAAGAGACCCCAGTGGGGTCTAGTGGAGCATCTCCTGTGTGAAGAACACATCCTTAGAGAAGCACTCGAGCTGAAGGCCCCAAAGCAGGAGGAAGCCCCATCCCGTACCCAGCCCCCAGGCCACTCTTCATTCCCGGCTCCCACACTGCAGCCAATAACGGGACCAACTAGTGAGCAGAGCTAAGCATTGCTACCCTGTTATGACTTAGTGCTAAAATGGTCCCCAGAGTCTCATGTGTTCAGAAATGACATCGAGAGAAGTGAAAGGTTCATGAGTATTATAGCTTGGCATAACTGAGGCCATCTTGAGCCCTGCATTTAACTAGTGCCCTGTATTTGACCCAGGAAAATGGAAAATTATTCAAGGTATGAGTCCCATGAAAAAAGCAGAATGAGCTGCACCCACAGGAGAAAAATTAACCTGCTCAATAAAGCAGCAGGACACAGGCATTAACCAAAAACTAATGTAAGACTCTAGCTAAGTTATTTCCAACAGGATGTCTTTTTGTAATTCTCTGTTTAAAAGCTTTGTAATTTTCCAGTTCAGGGCCACTCAGTGAGACTCTGAAATGGGTCCACATGAGTAGTCACTGAGCTCAGTTAATTAAATTCCAAATTTATCAGTTTGGCTGCTTGGATTCCTATATTGTTTATGAACCCACCTCAGTGAAGTGCTAATCTTATCAGTGTATCCTTCTAGTAAAAGTCCACAGCAGATGGGGCCCAGAAGAGGAAGTAGGTCACAGGGCATATGGCATGTTTTTGAAGAGTATACCATTCCCCAGACCCTTCCACTTTCTGTGTCTTTCCCTTTCTTTCTGCTTCCAAGATGAATTGAGTATCCTTCCTCTGCAAGGTTCTTCTATCATATTTCAGGCTTGGAGCCAGTAGACCATGGGCCTCTGAAACCATAAGCCAAATTAACCCTTATTTCCCTTTAAATTACAGATAACAGATACTTTGTTCCATTGACAAAAAAATGTTCACAGCCACATTCCTCCACCATCTCTACATCCATCCAATGCCAGCTTGTGGTAGGCCATGAGGCTGTGGAGAAGGAAGGGGGTGGTCTCCTGTGGGAGGACCCCACAGCTGGCCCTGTCTGATCCCTGTATAATACTGTCCAGCCTTGTCTTTACGGCACACTGCTCACAGACCTGCCCTTTCTTACCTTCCTGTTACAGTTTGTATCTAGGTGGGTCCCCAAAACCCATGTATGTACTCATAGGTGGGGGTTTTGGAAAGTGATCGGATTATGGGGCACTGTAGCTAACGTGTTAGGAGGTAGGGCCTGGTCAGAAGAGATGAGTTGCAGAGGGCATGACCTGGAAGGGTGTTTCTCTCTTTCCAGCTCCTTCCTTGACTCTCTCTGCTCCCTGATAGCCATGAGATGAGCACCTTTCTTTCATCAGAGGCTTCCACTGTGCCACTTCTGCCTGGACCCAGTCAACTGTGCAAGGACCAAAACTTCTAAACTCTGAGTGCAAATCAGCCTCTCCTCCTGTAAGTGTCAGGAGTTAGGTATTGTATGTCAGCAATGAGGAAAGTGACTAAGACAGCCTCAAAACCTTGACTTCATGCCTCTCCCCATTGGGCTAGCAGGTGCCACTTGGTGGCTGTAGATTTTTTCTTTTTTTTTTTTTTTTTTTTTGTCTTTTTCCTTTTTATCGGTACCAGGGATCGAACTCATGACTGCCTGCTTGCAAGGCAGGCGCTTATGCCGCTGAGCTAAATCCCCAGCCCCATGGCTGTAGATTTTTGAGTCATTTCCTATAGATGCCAGCTCTGTATCAGCCCTTGCTGCTGTGGACGTTTCCCCTCTGCCTGAAATACACAGGTTTCAGGTGGTGCATGACATAGATACTGTTCTTCTGGAAAACTTCCCAGGTATATCCCCTACTGTTGTTGGACAAAACAATAACCCCAGTTCCCCATGGTGAGCCCTGAGAAAGACTTATAATAGAAGCAAGCTGTTGCTTGTCCATTTGCCTTTTTGTCTACCCCAAAAACAGTAGATCGCTAGGGCTGATGCAGACTGACTCAGTTCTGCATAGATTAGAGCCTCCACATGCTGAGCCAATATCTATAAGTAAAGGGTAAGACGAAGAATCATTCAGAGGACCCAAGCCACAATGAGAGAGAGATTGTCTCAAAAGCAACAGGGCAGACGAGTTAGTTCGCTTCACAGAGTAAGTGAATAATTTTAAAGATTCCAATAACCAAAAATATTAAACTAGTGATATAGGAGTACGTTGAAGACAAATTTATTTACTCAGGATTTCTTTAGAAAGTAGCAATGTGATGCAGGTATTTACAAGAGTCAGTAGGACGAATGCAGTGGACCAGGAAAATGCATCCCAGAAACTGGTATGGCCACTACAGCAGGAGCCACATGCCACCATCAGGGACAGGGCTGGGAGGGGACATACAAAGGACAACTACAAGAGAAAGGGGGAGAGAGAGAGAGAAAGACAAAGAGGGAGGGAGAGAGAAAGAGAGAGAAAGGGAGAGAGAGAGGGAGAGAGAGAGAGGGCACATAGGTGTGTGTAGATGTATGGGATTTTTCTCTTTACATTTTTATAAATTATGTTGACTTTTCAGCTTTTCATTGATGACAGTTTATTGCAATTTAAAATGTTCCAGTGAATCAGAAAAAAAAAAACCCTAAAACAGATTAGCTGTGATAAAGACATCAACAGGCCTAAGCTCAAAGACAAACACAGGTGAGCTGATCTCTTTGGTCCTCTCTCCCAGCATGCATCATATACATGCACGCACAGCAGTGCATAGAAAGCAAATCAAGAGCACATTTGAAAACCTAAGCTGTCCAGGCCTCCTCAACCTTGGAAGCCCTTCTCTGTCCACTGGACCTCAAGAGCACCCACTGTCCACCCACCTGGAATATTGACTGGACACATTCTCCCAGTGTGTGAGTTGTAATCCCACCTTGAGCTGATCCAGGATGGCTGAGCCTTTCTAAATCCAGTCATTTCTTATACCTCCAGTCATTTCTTATACCTCCTTGTGGGTGGCCAAGGCCATCTCTATTATGCGGATGATAAATAACTGACCTCCCCATGCAAAGTGACTTCCCTGGGTCATACTCCTAGCAGTGGTGGATCCAGGGCAAATGCCCTGTAGCTAACAATGCATTACTCTTGGAGAAACAGCTACCTTCTACATGGAGTCCAGACATCCTTACTGTGTATGTATTGGAGACCACAAATTCACAATGGATAATTTTGTATACTTACCTAAGGGAAAAAATGGAAGTTTGGAATTATAATATCCCATTAACTCTTAGGATGGGCCATCCTCCCCACCTGCTAAGACTAAACCAAGACTACTAAAATGAAAAGGAATACTCCAGAGCAAGATCCTTCTTAGCATAAAATCATTTCCACCCTCTTGTGCCATCCCAGGATTGTCCATTGCCTGCAGTGTCATGGACCTCTGCATCTTCTGCTGACCTGCTAGCCTTCTTATCACTGTATATGCCCATATCTGGGTCCTTACCTGACCTGAGGCATTGACCTCTCAGCCCCTTATTATGTTACTAAATTTGTCTTGGTTTCTTATTTTATCCTTCCCCATACCTCTCATACATGCAGTTAAGGATCTTGACCAAGTCCCTGATATATATGCAACCCCTTAGCTCTGGGGAGCTAAGCCAAAGAACCCCATTTCCTAGTAAGTCAAATCCATAAGCCTCCAAATTCCTCCTACTCTTTACATTTACCAAATGCCGCTGTATAGGATACTGCCTTTCAGATTTACTTCACCAAACAGATGTACCCTTAGCCGGATTTTATACCAATGCCTAACAAGGGCCAAACATCACTTCTATCTTTCCACAGCCCCTTTAAGTTTCATGTGTCATCCACGTTCTTCAAACAGAATCTCATCTCTTTTTGCACCTCTGGTGTTACATCTCTGGGGTGTTTTTAAGGGATATGGCTTACGTCTGGACATACATCAAGTGAGGAACTATTCGCCACCCCCCCCCCTTTTCTCCTCTGGTCCTTCTATACCTCCCTGGGAAAGGAGTGGCCAATGATGGAGCCATATCCTTACTTGAACTTTAAATATTTGCTCCCATAAGACCTGGGGCAGGTCCTGGTCACAGTACATAAATGCATGCTGCAGTTACCTGCCCAGGAGTCTGTCTCCCTCAATGTCTGGGCTTTTTGTGGGCAAGCACTAGGTCCAAATGGTTTCTCTACCCTGCGGTGACCAGCACAAAGCCTATCCCAGAGCAGGTACTCTGTTAATGCTCATATTTGAGGGAGAGGAAGAGGGAAAGAAAAGAGAAACAGAAGAGGAATGCTGATAACTCACCCACAACAGGAAACACTGAACTCAGAATCTGGACCATTGGCATAGAACTGTCGTTATTTTTGGTAAACCTAGTAGTATGCAACCTGATCATTTTCTTTTTCCAGCAATAGAGATAAAGGAATATTACATGCCTTTCCCAATAAATGGGTTGGGTTTTTCTCTATTCATCTCCAAAATTTAATTGTCATGATTTAAAGTCAAGGCTCTAGACAGAAAAACAACTTATAGATTTCATCACCATTATATACATTTAACAAATATTCCCCACTTGCCCTCCCTTGTGTCAGCTGCCAAGAACAGGCAGAAAAATGAGCAATGGAGGAAAGAAGCAGAGGGAGTTATGTCATCTCATCATTTCAGGAAAGGTCACGTTTCCCAGGTTCCTCCACATGAAGTTTAGATGGAGGAGTAGGACTCAGGCAGACCAAAGGTAAGCAACAACTTCAGAGGCACCGGGAACTGTGAGGCCCCAGTGGGGAAGCTGAGAGGAGCACACAGGAACATCCACGTGCAGGACTGCACACACAGCTTCTCTAATCTGACCTTCACCCACTCTTCCCAACAAGGTCCTGAAGGTCACATCCTCACTAAAGCATGGGAGAAGGCCTGCATGACAATAAGCAAGGGAAGAAGACCAGAAGGCAGCCACAGGAAGGTAGACACTGCCTCAAAATGGAACATGTGAGAACACTGAGA